GGGCGGGGCGGTGAGTCAGCGGGCGGGGGGGGCGGCAGGGACCGGCTGACCCCCCCGCCCTCCCCTCGGGCCGCCGTTTCACTGCATCGGAGGTTTTCATGGGAAGAGCCAGCAACTTCCTCAGGTTCGGTTTGAGCCCGTCCATTGGGCAATTAGAGGATTTTTTATGAAAGAGAAAAGAGCAGTTTGAAACTATAAACTTTCCCCAGTTGAGAACTGGTTTGGGGCACTCGCTGGGGCTCCCTTTAAATAGGGGAAGGCTCTTCCACCAGGCTCGGTCAGTGTCTTGTGCCTCCAGCTGCCTGCAGACCCTCTGGGCACTGGCTCCTCTGCTCCGCTGTTCAATCTAACCCCGCTCGGAGGCCTTTGGTGAGTGCAAGGGTGTAGCGGGGCTCGGGGTTAGGTGTGGACAGAGATAGAACGCTGGGCAGCCTGACAGAGGACGCACGTGGGTTATCAACCCTCCTGGCATGAGCAATTTGAGGGGGCTCCTCTAAACGCGCTTTATTCCTCAACTGCCCATCACAAGGGGCCTGCGAGGCCCCTGGAACCAACTGCTTGGAAGAAACAGACACTCGGACCTACCTAAATACGTTATTAGTTCAGCAGTTATTTTAAACCAGCTGTAATTAATGCGAAATGAATGCAAAGAACTTGCTCTCTGCTTAATAACAGAGTTGGAATCACGTGGGGAGCACTGGCAGACCTGCAACCACTGAAGAGGTGCAAAAATACTTGAACGCTGTGAGGGAGAGCCTGGGAGCTCTGCAAACCTTGCCAGGACTCCCCCAGCTCCCCACATCGCTATTTCTGAATGTTGTCCTGCCTTCTTCTTGCAGGTTCATCCGGCTGGTTCCTCAGACAGAGATATCGTGGTTCTGAGATGAGCCCCTGAGCAGCAGAGACCTATCGCTTGTGCAGTCCCTGAAGCGTGACCGGGGCATCACGGGGCACGGCAGGGAAACCCACCTTAGCTCTGAGCACCATAATATGCTTTTTCCATCCATGCTGCTTCATTTCCTTGTCTGGGCCACCAGCTGGTGAGATGGCACAGCGCGGCGAGCTCCAGCCAAGCTTTGAGGACGTTTTTAATATTCTATCCCAGCTCCCAAAAGATAAACTCCTTAGCCTCGAATATAACCTGAAGCGCTTAGTATTTAGGCCCGGCAGCAAATTACTGCAAGCCATGGTCCTGCTTACTCTGGGGAAAAAAGCGGATGCAAGAATTTGTTTGGGTGCCTTGGGAGATAACCGGGCAGCCCAGTATGTCCATCAGACCAAACTGGGTGCTGCAGGAGTGCAGGAGGACGGGGAGGATTTGCAGCCTCCCCAGCTGGATGCAGGAGCCATGATGCTTCTGGCACAGATCTACTCAGTGTTGGTGGAGGAAAAACTCTGCAGTCATGAAGCCATGGACAAAGCCTGCCAGGCTGCCAGCAAAGCCTGCAACGCCAACAAGGAAACTCAGGGGGACACGCTCAACAGCATCCCACTTAAGGACCAGGAAAACGGCTCTGCTCTCAGCATGGACCCGAATGACAAATTTCAGACACTGAAATCTGATGTGGGTGTAGGATTTCTCCCTGTGGCCAGCCCAAACTACATGGTGAGAAGTTCTCCAGTGCAGATTGGAGGCAACTCAAACCTTTCAGGCCCACACAGCCTGGATTCCTTGGGGAATTCCTCTTTCCCCAGTTGCTTTGAGATCAGTGCGTCGCCAACAGTTGGTTTTCGCAGCCAGCCTTCCTCCCACGAGCGTGTCCCCCAGCCCAGCCAGCTGTGCGAGGGGAGCACCAGGGGTGCTGGACAGCCTGACAGGGACAGACAGAGCCACAGCCCGCAGGAAACAAGCTGGGCCAGCAGACCCAACTCTCATCCCAGGCAGGACACGGGTGCCCAAGTGCCCCAACTGCAGAAAGTTTGGCAGGTCAGTTCGTGTCGTCCACCTCTTCCTGAAACGCCCACGAGTGCTCTGAACCAACCTCTCGAAAGCAGTGATGTTTCCAGCACAGTGGCAGCAGAACTTCATGTGCCAAAAGAAAACACAAGCAAAAAGCAAGATGAAGAGCAATTATCTACAGGTCTTCCTGACTCAAGAGCTACAGGGGATACTGGTCCTGCCCGCATGTCCAGGGAAGAGACCTATGTTCCAGCAGTCACTCCTAACTCCACATCTGCTTCCATTTCAACCTGTTCCCTTCCTCCTCCTACCTACCCCGTCTCCTCAACCCTTCCTCCTCATCAGGTTACTCCTTCCAGTTTATCACATCCCACTCCCCTCCACTCATCCCCTTCTCCAGCCTGGCCTCCTCCTCTCCAGACTATAGAACCAGTGCCACCATCAGAGCCAGACAGTGGAAAGTTCTTCACTTTTGTTGTCCTGCATGCTAGTGAAGATGAGGTTGTTGCCCATCGGGTCAAGGACCTGCTGGAGAACATGGGAGTTCCCAACGGTGCCACACTCTGTGAGAACTTCTTCATTGCTGGCCGCAGCCATCTGACTTGCTTCCAGGATGCTATGGAAAACTCTGCTTTCATCATCCTCCTGCTGACCAAGAACTTCCCATGTGACCTGTGTATGTTCCAGACAAACACTGCTCTGATGGAGTCCATCCTGAAACCATCTAAGCGTGACTCAGTCATCCCTTTTGTACCCAAGGAGAACCCCCTGGAACGGAGTCAGATTCCCAGCACGCTCGGCGGGCTGATGCCCTTGGATGAAAACTCTCCTGGGTTCTCCAAGACAGTGCAGAACACCTTTACCACCAGCAGGATCCATGAGAGGAAAGTCATGTGGGACCTGATGCAGAGAAAGAAACTACAGCTGTATCAGGAACGGTATCAAACACTGCACAGCTTGGCTGCTCTGAACCTTGGCTCCCTTCCCCAGGCGCCTCCATCAGCAACACAGCTGCAGCTGCTGGAGCAATCACCCCAACAGTGGTGCCCCCCTGCTTCGACTGTCCCTCCCACCACATACCCACCTCCCCCAGCTGGGGTGGCTCAGATGGGTCCCCCACCTTCCCAACCAATTCACCTCCCAGCAGGCCACTACAACATGATGCCAGGTCCAGGAGGCACCTCCCACCTCATCATTCAACACGCTCGAATGGTTCAGATTGGGGACCACAACACGATGCATATAGAAACTGCCCCACCAGGTCCACAGGACAGTGAGGAAGAAACCAGGCAGAATGCTTGAGCAGAGATGCAGCAGGTCAGCCAAGGCCACAGACACTCACACCTAGTTTCACCCCCCTAGATTATAGTGATTCTGCTGGGACTGTTATTCTTATTTCACTGTGGGTAAAAGGTGCCACTTTCTTGGAGCACAGGAGAAAATTACCTTTTTTTTTTGTTGGACAGAAGAGGCTGCGATCTCCTGAGACTCTTTATCTTGTGCTTATTTTCAAGTAACTGAGAAAATGATTTTCCTGATTTTCTGAAGCTACTGGAAGGTTTTATAAATAAATTTATAAATTTATAAATAAATTTAAATTAATTAATTTGTGTTTCTCTGGTTCTTTCTCTAGAATTAGCAAAGGGTCGGTCAGAGATATCTGGAAAACTGTTCTGCATGTCTGTACGTCTGGGGAAGAGGGGGCTGGGAGACGGCACACCTGGGGTTCTGGTTCATAATCCATGGCTGACCAAATCATTTGAGGGAAAATCATCAGTGGATGCTCTGGGGACCCCCTGTCAAGGCACTAAGCACCCTAAGGTGCCACTGTTTTCTTCCAGCAGTCCTCTTGCCTTGGGGTTGCAGCATACCCCCTCAGCCCCTCACACTGATGAATACTTCGTGTGCGTGTTGCACTCCCCTTGCTGCAGCGCACCAGCTGCACCATTTCCCCCAGCCTCTTGCATCAGACCCAGGAAGGTTCAGGAAACAGCCTCACAGACTTCTGAGAGGCTACAGGCCTTGGGGCTGAGGTATCAAGAGACCACTTTTCCCAGTTCCCCTCTGAAACTACAGAGAGAGAAGTTTTTCTGTTCGTGAAAGACAAAATTCCCATGTGCCCCTGGAGGCATGGCTTGAAGTATTTTTGTGTTTAAAAAAAAACTCTTTTAAAGACATGAGATTACACACCAGATACAAGGCTAAGCAAGAATCTTTACAGTAGAGCTGTACTTGGGGGGAAAAAAATTATTTGGTGAAGGTGGAATGAGAGGAGGGAAATGTGGAAAAAGCCCGAGGAGGAAGAAGCTTGAGTGTTTACTCCTCCAATCTTACCTGCTTGTAAAAGGTCAGAGGTGGGACCTGGGCCATGTCACACAGAGTCACGTTCCCTTCTGGGATTACTCCACCTATTACTGTTACTGCCTTTGAGGAAAAAGTCTGACAGGAAAACAAAAGCACTGAGCAGAGGACTGCAGGAAGGGTGGAGAAAGGCAGGAATGGAGGAAACATTCTGCAGGGCCTGGGCAAGGGACACACCAGGCAGGTACCTACTGAGCTTTCAACACAAGGAGGGCATTGGAAGCGAAGCCCCAGACCTCAGGCTCTTCTCCGACAGCTTCTGCGGTGGCCGTTTGCCGGCTCTGTCAGCAGAGGTCAGCCCAAAGCCACCAGACCAGGAACGGGCCTGCTCCCTCTGCCAGCAGAGCCCGGCCAACAGCAGAGCTCTAGTCAGCTGGCCCTGAGCCCAGCGGGATTGATACGGGGGGGG